ATAGACATCTCGTTGATGTGAGTTGAACGAGATTTGAAAAAAGTATATTGGAAACATTTCGAAACATTTTGGAGCTTGCGCATGAACTGTTGGCAACTTGAAGATTGGCCTCAACACTAAGTACTGAAGTTCTCTTGGAGAAATGAAAAGCAAATTCCGTCTCTTCGAATCTGGGTGGTACAAGTAGAATAGTTAACAAAATATGTCTGCTGTTACGAGCAGTCACTCCTTTTGGGCGACTGACCGCTATGTTACTGAAAACACTAAGATGTATTAGCCACCTGATTTTGGTGACTTGTTAACACGACATTCCTACAAGTACTGAACTGGCTTCTGAACAAAGTTAAACTGATTTATGCCACAAAATTAAATACCTGTATGCCGAATTGAGGGCCCTGGGGCTATGCTCCGATTTGCCGTACCCCAGCAACGGCTCTAGTTGTTACTGATACGTAAAAGAAATCGCATTAAGATTGTCGTCGGCTGCATTCGGCCCGCGGGTCGTAGGTTGGTACTTCTAGTCTAGATACTGAAGCATTGCAAAATAAACCACAGAGAGAAACGAGTTGTTTACAAGTACAAATAAGTAATACGTCTTGGGAGGTGAACGTGGCATATACTTTCCTGTAAATCTCTTTGTAGAGGCTAGCGGAAATACTAAATTATCTTTTGTATATAATTTCGTCTAGTTTAGATTCTCATGACTTGGAAGTTGTTAGCCACAACGTTGCAGTTTCGAGCCGCTACAATTTTAGTCGCTTTTAACTTATACAAAAAAGAAAGTTTTGTACAGGGGCTGTAGGTATGCGTCTTATCCATCTGTATACCGAATTCCACAGTTCTCTAGCAATCCCGTAAGTTATCCTTCACAGATAAGATAGTGAAGGTACAGGTTAACAGTTTCATTTCGTAGCTAATATCAGAGAAGTACAAATAGGCCCATATATCGTCAGTTTAAGTGAGAATGAAATGGGGTACTGTAGGCACTCTTCATGAAACGAAAATCCAGGCCATTATGAAGGTGGCTAAGCGTAAACTTGAGACTTGACGCTCACTAGGCTCTGTTTCCTCTACATTCTGGAAGTTTGCTCACTCGCCTGTTATTTGATCTGTGTACTCAGAATACCCAGACCAGTTGAAAGTTCTGAGAATAAATGCGTAAAGGAAATCACGAAACGTCCATTTGGGACTACATCTACTGTATCTGTTAACCAGCGATGAAGCTATTTCGACTTCATCCTGTCATGCTTTAATTCCGTTGAAGTAGCTGACGGCACCCAAATTGGAGGGCGTCCCTAGGCCATCATATTATGCCGATGGGTTAATGGTACTATTATTATTATTAGAAGGGGTGGGTTCCCCTATGCACTTAGACCAGTTATTGGTCCATAGTGTCCCCCCCTTTAATTTCTACTGTCGCCATACCCTACCGGTACTGGTGCGTGCTATCAGCCCCGTTCAGCCAACGAGGTCGGCCGTCGGTACCTGATATTTCCCCCATCTACCAGAGGCATTGGAAACTACTTGTGCGGGAAATTGTCTTATTTTTTTTTTTGCACGGGACCCACGGCTTAAAGTCCCTGCCGGAGGACTTGTTCCCTGAATTTTTCCGCCCTTAGAAATTCTACGACCTCCGCCGGGTTTGAACCCGCGTACCTTGAGTCATGAGGTGGGAACGTTACCCCTAGACTACGGAGGCCGCTTGTTAATGGTATTAAGAACAATTTGGAATGTGGTATTTTGACCATCACATTAGTGTCTCAAGACGAGTCCGGTTAGGCACAGCGAGTGTTTTTGCTTTCTGGTGCCACATTTACAGCAGTAGTTACTTACCAGTAAGGAGTTGTACCAGCCGTCCTCGTTGCCATAGTACCGCCATGTTAGACATGATAAGATATTTGCTGCTGTACATTTTTAGACATCTCCTCAGTTCCTGGTTCTTACGTATGTTTTTCTACAAGCGGTGTTAATGTCATTCGTTTCCTTTTGTGATGCGGCTACTTAAATCCAATGTCATATCTTTGCTGGATAAAAAAAATTGAATATCGGGTACAAAATAAAATATCGTGTTTTATTTGCAACTTTCTCTCTGGAATCATTTTCCGATATCGCGTGTAGAAACGAAGGGGAACGTCAGAAATATTGATACGTGAAGAATATTCATGAGGGTCTAAAGACGAAAAATGTAATGCTCGGTATCAGCCGAATTCTTAGTGGGTGCTGTATGTAACGGGATCCTGGCCTTCAGAAACCTATAGTCCCTTTGATGATCAAGTTTTCTCGCACTTTATGGAACCTGAAGCTTCACTGTTGTATTGAAAAGATTCATCATATGACTCAGTCCTGAGCCTGAAAGTAAATCCACACTTTGACGTTATACTTCTGTAAGATTTGTTTTAATATTATTCTTCCATCTAATGCTCCAAAATGTTCTCTTCCAACCAGCCTTCTCATAGGCCTATGCGTAGCATATCCTATCCACCTCATCCTCCTTGATCTAATCATCCTGATGGTGTTTGATAAAGAGAACAAGCTGTGTAACTCCTCAGTATGCAGTTTCATCCATTTTTTTATAACGTCCCCTTTTTGGTCCATATTTCGGAAAGTTGTTATAAAACAGTTTCAATCCGTGTTTTTCTTCTTTTCGTTAAAGCGAAGAACCAAGTTCCACACAAATGTAAACCGAGAGATAAAATTGTATTTTTTTCTATACTTTAATCTTTACGTTTGTAGATTGGAGACAGAAAAATAAAACTGAATGAACAGTCCTTCCCCGAATTTTATCTGCCCTTGACTTCTTTTTGTAAATTTGGTGTTATGAAATATTTGAACTTTACCACAGTTTCAAACTATTTATTGTCTATTGTTATACAGGGCTACTATAAATAATTCACTCGTTTTTAAAACGCTATATTTTCCAATGTATCACACATACAAATATGATTGATATATAAAAAGAACCGTAAACTCACCAAGTATTTTATGCGCACCAGTTGGCAGCACGAGTTCAGTACCTTTACAGAATGGCGACAAAGCAAGAAAAGAGGTTTTGTTTGTTGGAATATGCGAGATGTTCGTCTGTTATAGCAGTGCAACGCGCATTCAAAAGAGAGTACGGAAAAGAACCGCCATGTAAACAAATCATTTTGCGGTGGTATCGGCAATGTTCGTCGCTACCTAAACAATGAACTTCGGCATCGCTGGATTGGGCGTGTTGGTGAGGATGACGTAGCTCTGTTCACTTGGCCCCCCAGATCACCTGATCTAACGCCTTGTGACTTCTTCCTTTGGGGGTACATTAAGGATTGTGTTTACGTACCCCCAATGCCAAGAACACTATTAGAGATGAGGGAACGCATCGATGCTGCAGTGATGACCATTGACAGGATGATGCTACAAAATGTGTGGAACGAGCTCGACTACCGCCTGGACGTGTGTCGTTTGACCCAAGGGGCACACACAGAACATTTGTAGAGTGTGAAGAAAACTTAGTGAGTTTACGGTTCTTTTCATATATCAATCATATTTGTACGTGTAATGCTTTGGAAAGTATAGCGTTTTAAAAACGAATGAATCACTTATAGTAGCCTTGTATTATTCTTTTGCCCTTCATATTGGTGACCGAGCACTAACATATAAGAACTATACAGTTTAATGTGCGTCTGATAGTCTTTTCTTATGACTTTTGTGTCTTCGTTCATAGCTTCACGAGAAGTAACGGCATATTGTAAAGCGGAACTCGAAAGCATCCAGTCATTTCAGTCACTGTGAATTCGGAATGCATCAGACAACCCTATTCCTTTGCGGGCTGTACCACATTTTACGTTTCGATCAGTGTAACTAGTTTAAGGAGTATGAAATGAAAATGTTGTACATTACTTCTCTCTTGATTGAATCGTAGACCTTCTTGAGGCTGTAAATAGCTGATTTACTTTCCCATCTTACTACCATTTTTTATCTAATATGCGACAAATGCAGGATGTCTGATCAGTATGACGCATAACACCGGAACTCATGATACTCCCAAGTAGTTTCTTCTGCGCACGGAGTTGGCCTTGAGAGGAGCGCGGTGAAGTGCGTATGCAGCGCAGAAAAAGTTATGTTCTTCGATAAAAATGACAGTTGTGGCGCTCGTATCAGTAGGTGCAGTAATGGAGTCGTTCTTCTGTGGCAGTTCTTCCGTATTATAAATTGTACTGATATATTTGTGGATTTCAGAATGTAATGGTTACCACCTGCTTTGGTCAGTTCAGACATCTAGAGGTTCCAGGCAGTGCAGGATACAAGTTGTATGACTGGTGCCAAACTTTGTGGCACTTGGCGACCATCTCTGGTTTAGATACAGTACGATAATAAATTGTATTTGTGAATAATAATATCAGCAGTACCTGACGCCGCAACCCAGCGGATAGCGCTCCCTCTTCGTGTTCGAGTGCCCCAGATTCAAATACAGACCCTGTGATTGGCTGTCCTTGCTTATTTCCCGTAGTTTTCTGCAGTTCCTCTAGGCAGATGCCGGGTAATGCCCATGCAGTATCGTCGTTGTCGTTGGGGTGATGCTGGTTTTCTCAGGATGAGCGAGGAAGAGAATTTGGTACAGACGGTTCAGGCTGTACTTGCTTCAACAGTACCAAAATTCTCTCATCTCTCAATAACATGTGGTCATAATCTGCTCAACCATACCGATCTTTATAATGTTTTAAGATTTGAGGTTTTCACGGCGGTGACTGTGAAGAATACCGTCTTCTGGGATGTGGCGCCGCTTGTGTTCACACGAGATGTACACGACGCCACATCCCAGAAGACGGCAGTCTTCTTTATAATGTTCTTTTCGCAATGGCACTGCGATTGAGGCGGGGTGGGGACAAGCATTTGAACACTCCTCAACTCAGATAGGAAACGAAAGTATTTTTTTCATTGGTCATGGGTTGCTTCTAGCGATGTTTCATTGCGTTATGTTGGTACGATAGCTGGTTCTCAGAATAGTTGTTTAGCAATCGCAGCAGTGCACGCCTGAGTCGGGAGCTGTATATAGTGGCTGTGTTTGTTACGAAGTGATGTCGAAGTGTCGAGTGGTTCACGTGTGGTCATGAAAACAGCAGTAGGTACGCAATGTCATTAGGCATCTAGGAAAAGTAGTGTGTCAAGTTTAGGCATGTATTTTCGCTAATTGCTCTATATTGTTGTTGAAAGTCGTGAGGCGTTTCGCGTAGAGACTGAATGAGAATAAATCGTCAGCACTGGACCTTAATGTGTAATTTGTTCAGTACTGTGAACGAAGTACTGAATAGTTTTGTTTTAGCGTTTAGAAATTTGTTGTCCCGACGTGGTGTCCTCATGTTTTGGTTATGAGTGTGTGTAGAGGGGGAAGGAACGTCGTCGACAGTGTAGTGTTAATATTTTAAATCAAAATTATTGTCAGTAAATAGGGACTGTATTTTTGCGTTAATTTCACCGCCATTTCACTCATGTCGCCACAGTGCATGAAAATAATGTAAGATCATTGCTTTTCTGATTACGAAATTTTATTGCGTAGTTTTAGATTATTTAATGACGCTGACATAACAGCATGGATGCAGTGACATCAGTTAGGATTGTTACAACGCAGGATTAAAGCGGTTTATTCGCTTTAGTAATTTTTGTATAACAGAGAGCAGCTTTGCGATATTGTTAATGTAGCGATATCAGAAATTATAATTTAGGTACAGCGCCTATGGTCGACGGGACGAATTGAAAACTACATTCGTGGCAAATTTACAAGCAGACAGAATTCGAGGAATTCTTGCTTCCTTTCGACTCTGTACGTCATGTCTTTTTTGAACTCCCCTTATCCCAGCTAAAAACCATAAAGAATACGATATACAAATCTATTTTTGTTTTGTTTTGAATGTAAAACGTGGTCCCACCCCAAGAAAAGAATAGGCGGGGGATTGTAGAACAGAGAGAGGATTGTGGAGAATATTTGGACCCAAGAGAGATCAAGTAACACGAAAATGAAGGAAATTACATAATGAATACCCATAATTTGTGTTATTAAGGAGAGGAAATCAAGGAGGTTGAGAACAGTGGTATGTGCAGAAATTATAGGGAGTTAACAAATACACATGATTTTAGTTTGAAACACATTATGAAGGCCAAGACCCAGCTTCAGTGATAATATTGAAAGGGGGTCTTAGGGAAATAGTATGTGAAAATGTGACCTGAAGATGGGGGGCTAGTGGCGGGATTTGTTTAACAAAATAATAACAGTTTAGGTTGCGTAAATAGCGGGGATGCTCTTGACCAGCTGTCATTTTCTCGGGAAGGACCCTGCTCCGTTTGGTTACTTGAGCGGGTAGGCCGGGGCTATGCCTCTTCTCCTAACTTAAATTCGTGAAAGAACTTTTTGGTTCCAATTTCTATACTGAACCGACCCCCACCCCACGATAGTTCCTATTTGATGTTATTCTGAAATATTAATAATATATATGTAGACACATACAGACCGTCAGCTTTCACCTGTTCGCGCCGCTGGTACTGAAACTGGTTGGGTGCTGTCTGGCCACCCAGGTGAAGTATTTTGCTCTTATAGGATGATCCATTTTTTTCGGATGCTAAATTAAACATTTTTCTTACATTCGGGTAAGGCCGCGCCATTGCTCAAGCGGTTAGTCGCTGGCTTCCCCCCGCGGCGGCCCGGGTTCGATCCCGGTTCTGGTCAAATGGAATTTGTGGTGGACAAAATGGTATTGGGGCAAGTTTTCTCCGAGTACTTCGGTTTCCCCTGTCAATCTTCATTCCACCAGTTGCTCCACAATCACCCTCACCTATCATCTGGGGCTGGTACAATAGGCCAGAAGTGGCCGCAGTACAAGTCCCACCCCACTAGCAATAAAAGAAATAGGGAGGTAGGTTGTACTTACCGATGGAAAATGGATGGAATTGCACAAGCGCAAAAATATGTTTGGAACAATAGGCCAGAAGTGGCCGCAGTACAAGTCCCACCCCACTAGCAAAAAAATACATTCGGATATTTTTTTTAATATATATTTATTAGCAATCAGAATTAAATACATTCTTTAAGCTAATTTGCCAATTTAAACACCGTCCTCGTGTGCAGAGGATAAATTATATGGGGCTAATAAGGTAATTGTTTTGCGTTCTACTGGGAATGAGCGTTAACGGGGAGAGGATTTCAATTAAGCGCATTAACAGTTATAATTCCCCGCAGACCGATTTTACACGCCGTCGGATTGGACACCCAGTAAGTCACGTGTTGTAATTGATACCACTCGCATGGTCACCACCAGTCCGAAAAGAATACCATGTCGGTACACGGTTATCGATGTTCATGAGATGGTTCGCTAGAAGACAAGCCGGGCGGATGTATTATCGCCCGAAATCTAATGTGCAATCACCGACTTATCTATCGGCGCAGGACGTACCATGTATTTCATTGAAGCTCTACAATAGGATAGTGGATTTCAAACAGAAACCATGGTCAAGGTCATATTTTGCAGATAGGTTTGAACTTTTTAATGAATTGAATATTTCACTGCATGGGCAGTTCATGTTGGGAGCTGGGATAGCACTGTCGGTATAGCGACTGGCTACGGGGCTGGACGACAGAGGGGAACCGGATTTGGGGTCTTGGTTGAGCTAAGATTTTCTCTTCTCCAAGTCATCCAGACCGATTCTGGGGCCCAACCAACCCCCTATCCAATGGGTACCGTGGGCTCTTTCCACGGGAGTAAAGCAACAAAGGTCTGAAGCTGACGGATTACTTCTAGCTAGTGCCGAGGTCAAGAAAATGTTGATCTATAAATCCTCTACCCCATACGCCATCATGGCGTAGTGTTTAATTAGTTAAGCAGAGGGACAACTTTACCAACTTTAAAGGAAGTTCATGTGTCATCGATTTGTGTAAAAACTGAGATAATTATAAATGAAACTGTATGTGTGGATTTCGTAACTCAGTACTTCATTCTTGCGGCTTGCATTGAAGATTGAATCTGCTTTACCTTTGAATGAAAGTTTTCACTCAAATTGAAGATCGTCTGCTCAGTTTGAGAGCAGACGTGTGAGGGTATTTTCCAGACGTAGCAGACGGACTTTTTCCATTGGTCAAACCGCCGGTCACATTTCAGGTTCAGGACGTAGTAGATGTTGCGCAAGACGAATTTATCGAAATTATAACGCAGACCTCAAATCGAAGTTTTCAAATCCACTATTAACTCATTTTTCAGTTTGCAGATTTATAAAAGAGCTACAAAATATTGCAAATACGGTTTATGAAATACTCTTCCTCTACCAAGTTGGGTTTAAACTTCGACAAAAATGAAACAAGCGTAACATTGTCACCAGTTTTCGTTTTCCATCAACAAAAATAATATGAGCGTATTATTTTTAAATGTTTACATCGATTTTATGATCGTAGTAAATAGGATTAAGTGCATGACAACAGCAAATAAGGAAAACTCTAGGATTAGAGGGTCTCACAGCGGTTGTTATGAAGAGTGCCGTCTTCTGCGGTATAACGCCGTGTAGTCCGTTGAAGGTCAACAGACGTTTCGGAGAAGCATCGCCTCTATCTTGAGGGTCGAAGAATAAGTCGAGCAAGAGACCAGCGAAAGCAGGTGGCAAGCAGAGCAGACTTGCGCTCATGTTTGTGGGAATTGCAGACACAGTTGTACTAAGCATAGTATTTTTTTTATTGCTAGTGGGGTGGGACTAAGTCCCTTGCACTGCGGCCACTTCTGGCCTATTGTACCAGCCCCAGATGATAGGTGAGGGTGATTGTGGAGCAATTGGTGGAATGAAGATTGGCAAGGGAACCCGAAAAACTCTGAGAAAACCTGCCCCAGCACCACTTTGTCCACCACAAATCCAACTTGACCAGACTTGGGATCGAACCGGGGCCGCCGCCGTGGGAAGCCAGCGACTAACCGCTTGAGCTATGGCGCGGCCTACGAAGCATAGTAACTCAAACGGCTAATGAATTTATGCAGGTGCCACTGCGTATATTCATTGAATTGTATTACATTCTCTTTCAGAACGGAAGTTACTCAGGACTTCTCACCCTAGGCTTTGTCATTGAAGTCTAAACAAATACGTTTCATGATCATAGGCCTGTTTAAGATGTAGGACTGCCGACTCTTGCTTAGTCCATACAGACAGTAGGCCTAAGCATAACCCCTCGCAGGCTCATTCCCCAGCGATGTATAATTTTTAAGTATCGATAAGAAATACACAAGGGAAGAAAAGCGGCATTGAAAATTAAATAGTCATTAATACACTGAAAGCTTCATAACTTGTACCCTTCTCCAAGTATAATTAGAATGATAAATTCAAGGAGGATGAGGTGGGTAGGGCATGTAGCACGAATGGGGGAGAACAGGAATGCATGTAGGATATTGGTAAGAAAGCCAGAAGGAAAGAGACCACTGGGAAGACCAAGGCGGCGGGTGGACAATATTAAAATTGATCTTAGAGAGATAGGATAGTTTGGGATGGATTGGATTGATCTTGCTCAGGATAGGGACCAGTGGAGGGTTCTTATGAACAAGAGAGATAGGATAGTTTGGGATGGATTGGATTGATCTTGCTCAGGATAGGGACCAGTGGAGGGTTCTTATGAACAAGGTAATGAACTTTCGGGTTCCATAAAATGCTGGGAAATTATTATTCTTAATACAGTGAACATGCAATGCTCTAAGCAGTATCATTACTTGCCGTGTAAATATATTTTATTGCCTGCTTTCTTTGTTTATAAGGAGAAACAGATTTTCGTATCAATTCGTCTCCATATGCGTATGTTTCCCCCCCCCCCCCACAGGTTTTGGACCAGGCAGGCGGATTTTGTGAAATCAGGTAGTGCTGTAGTCGTGTAAAAAGCACAGGGATTTCCTGTACGGAATTGAAATTTTGGGAGGTCTTACACAATTTTTAAGATCATGTTGCACTACTGTAATGTTACGATGTTATCAGGAAACGTATGAATGACCCTACTTCGAATTTCTTTGGCTATCACACACCATTTTCATTGGTTCTTTCTCATCCTAACACGTCGGTTTCAGAACATGATGCAGTGTTGAGTACAGTGCACGACATTTTGTTGTATACTCGT